CAGGTAAGTACCCCCAGACCGTTAGGACGGTTCAGGACCGTCATCGGTCGGCAAGGGAAAAATGCCGATGACGGTCCTGAACCGTCCTCGGTCCTTAAGGGGTTAAGGTCAAAATATCCAAACTGGAAAAATTCTCTAAGCCAGCAGTACTTTCAGTTCAAATACTTACTAGCCTGACGTTTGAAATTCACTTTAAATTCACTCTAAATTATTACTGCATCTTTAATCTAATCTATTACACTCACACACCTCACCCTGCCACACACCCTATCACACTCACCCGCTTCACCCCGTCACACACCCTATCACACTCACACACCTCACCCTGCCACACAACCTATCACACTCACGCGCTTCACCCGTCACACACCCTATCACACTCACCCGCTTCACCCCGTCACACACCCTATCACACTCACCCGCCTTATCCTGACATTCCCTATCACACTCACACACCTCACCCTGCCACACACCCTATCACACTCACCCGTCACACACCCTATCACACTCACCTGCCTTATCCTGATATTCCCTATCACACTCCCACACCTCACCCTGCCACACACCCTATCATTCACCCACCTCACCCTGCCACACACCCTATCACTCACCCGCTTCACCCTGTCACACACCCTATCACACTCACCTGCCTTACGCTGCTACACACCCTATCACATTCACATGCCTCACACTGCCACACCCTATCACTCACCCACCTCACCCTGCCACACACCCTATCACACTCAGCCACCTCACCTTGCCACACACCTGCCTTATCCTGACACACCTTATCACATTCACCTGCCTCACCTTGCCACATACCCTATCACACTCACCCGCTTCACCCTATCACACTCACCTGCCTCACGCTGCTACACACCCGCCTCACCCTGCCACACACTCTGTCACACTCACTCGCCTCACCTGCCAAACACCCTGACACACTCCCCCCTCCCCCTGTCATTCTCATTCCCCTCATCCAGTCAGGGGTGGGGGCCAGGGGAAAGGACATTAGGTCCCCCCCCCCTTATTCCAATTTAGGGCCCCCACCTGCCACTCAGGGGTGGGGGCCAGGGGGTAGGACATTAGGTGTCCCCCCCTTATTCCAATTTAGGGCCTCCACCCGCCGCTCAGGGTTGGGGGCCGGGGGGGAGGACAATCGGTCCCCCCACATCATTTTATATAGGACCCGCTCAGGGGTGGGGCGGGGGGCAATAGGTTTAAAAGCCCCCACTCGCGCAGCACGCCCAAACCCTGTTACATTCATCTTCCTCATCCTGACATAGTCACTCCCCTACTAATCCTAGAACGGTCACCTCTCACATAAAACACAGCCTTACCATAAACACAGCACACGAAGACCACAAGCAGCCACCCCTTACACACAACACAATGCAAGTAACTACCCCACTCATGCACGCTCACAGTCACAGGCAGACACAAGGATGCACAGGCACATACAGACACAATTCCAAACACACAGAGCCCAGGGCTCTAGAGGAAGGGCTACCTGAAGTAGGCTGAAGTTTGAAATTCACTTTAAATTCACTCTAAATTATTACTGCGTCTTTAATCTAATTTATTGCTCCTTTTCAACATGTTATGTAATTATAAAAGACAGTTTAAAAAGGCTCAGGCTTACTTATCTTACATAGTTACATAGGCTGAAAAGAGACATGTGTCCATCAAGTTCAGCCTTCCTCACATTTGTTTTTTTTGCTGTTGATCCAAAAGAAAGGCAAAAAAAACCTAGTTTGAAGCACTTCCAATTTTGCAACAAACTAGGAAACAAATCCTTCTTGACCACAGAAGGGCAGTCAGATTTATCCTTGGATCAAGAAGAAATTACCCTACAGTTTAAAGATGATATAATTGAATATTCTGTTTTTTGCAAGTATGCATCTAGTTGCTGTTTAACCCCTTAAGGACCAAGCTTCTGGAATAAAATGGAATCATGACATGTCAGACATGTCATTTGTCCTTAAGGGGTTAAAGGGACACTATAGTCACCTGAACAACTTTAGCTTAATGAAGCAGTTTTGGTGTATAGAACATGCCCCTGCAGCCTCACTGCTCAATCCTCTACCATTTAGGAGTTAAATCCCTTTGTTTATGAACCCTAGTCACACCTCCCTGCATGTGACTTGCACAGCCTTCCATTAAAACTTCCTGTAAAGAGAGCCCTATTTAGGCTTTCTTTATTGCGAGTTCTGTTTAATTAAGATTTTCTTATCCCCTGCTATGTTTTTTTTTTTCTTCTTTTTTTGTGAATATATATTTTATTAGGTGTTTCCAGTATTTCAATTTCAGTTGTATCAAATCATAAAAAGGCATTTATAGGGACACGCAGGTCCCAGCAATTGCACTTAGTGCTTATCGCCTTAGAACATAAAAGGAAAACAGAAAAAAGGAGGGGGAGGGGAAAGAAAATACATTCAAGTAAACAGGCAGTGGTGACACGCAGGTCGCCTTTTAGAACACAAATAACATTTACGTGGTGGACTCGCAGGTCCTATGAGATGTAAACAGTGGGTGGTACTTACACATGCTCTATAGGGTGACAATGTGGACACGCAGGTCCTGTTCCACCTAACGGTAGTATTCGCGGCAGGAGGTAATGGTCACTGTTTGTGTTTCATTGGCTTTTGTCGGTCTCGACCTGGTGCCATAAGGTATTATATATTATATGGTGGGCCTACTAGTCCCCCTGTCCTGTATGCGTGCTTGTACCACTCTCCCGCATTTTATGTTGTCGCCTGTTGGACAGGCGTCTACTCGTTGGACTCGCTGGTCCCAGAGCTCCTTTGAAGTTGGTCCTACATCAGTTTTATTGTGATGTGGCCGGGATCCCCTGCTATGTTAATAGCTTGCTAGACCCTACAAGAGCCTCCTGTATGTGATTAAAGTTCAATTTAGAGATTGAGATACAATTATTTAAGGTAAATTACATCTGTTTGAAAGTGAAACCAGTTTTTTTCATGCAGGCTCTGTCAATCATAGCCAGGGGAGGTGTGGCTAGGGCTGCATAAACAGAAACAAAGTGATTTAACTCCTAAATGACAGTGAATTGAGCAGTGAAATTGCAGGGGAATGATCTATACACTAAAACTGCTTTATTTAGCTAAAGTAATTTAGGTGACTATAGTGTTGGTCCTTAAGGGGTTAAACATCTGTACCAGGCTTCCCCAAACTCTGGCCCTCCAGATGTTGCTGAACTACAACTCCCATGATTCTTAGCCTATCTATTTCATTCATAGAATCATGGGAGTTATAGTTCAGCAACATCTGGAGGGCCGGAGTTTGTGGAAGCCTGATCTGTACTAACTCTGATAAAACCACTTCTTCAGGCCAGGAATTCCACATTGTTATTGTTCTTACAGTAAAAAACAAAACAAAAAAAAATCAACCTTTCCTTTGCCTTAGACTAAATCTTCTTTCTTCCAGTCTAAACGCATGACCTCGTGTCCTGTGTATAGTCCTGTTAGTGAATAGATTTCCACACAATGGTTTATATTGGCCACGGATATGTTTGCATATTTGTATAATGTTATCATATCCCCTCTGAGGCAACATTTTTCTAAATTAAATAGTTTTAAATTTGTTAACCTTTCTTCATAGCTAAAATGTTTCATTCCTTTTATTAATTTTGTAGCCCTTCTCTGCACTTTTTCTAGTGCCATAATATTCTTCTTTATAACAGGTGCCCAAAATTGCACAGCATATTCAATATGTGGTCTTACCAGTGATTTATAAAGAGGCAAAATTATATTCTCATCCCAAGAATTAATGCCCTTTTTAATGCACGACAATACCTTACTGGCCTTAGCCACTGCTGATTGACATTGCACATTGTTGTATAGTTTGTTGTCTATAACAATTCCCAAGTCCTTTTCGTGTGTTGTTATCCCTAATTCGCTTCCATTTAGGGTATAAGTTGCTTGTGCATTCTTTATGCCGAAGTGCATAACTTTGCATTTTTCTACATTAAATTTAACCCCTTAAGGACCAAACTTCTGAAATAAAAGGGAATCATGACATGTGTGCTTAAGGGGTAAATCTGCTATTCGAGTGCCTTATAGTCTTTCTCAATCCCTCTGCAGCAAAGTAATACCGTATATACTCGAGTATAAGCCGACCCGAATATAAGCCGAGGCCCCTAATTTTACCACAAAAAAACTGGGAAAACTTATTGACTCGAGTATAAGCCTAGGGTGGGAAATGCAGCAGCTACTGGTAAATTTCTAAATAAAATTAGATCCCAATAAAATTACATTAATTTAATATTTACAGTGTGTGTATAGAATGAATGCAGAGTGTGTGTTTGTGTGTATATAATGAATGCAGAGTGTGTGTTTGTGTGTATATAATGAATGCAGAGTGTGTGTTTGTGTGTGTGTATATATATAATGAATGCAGTGTGTGTTTGTGTGGTGTGTGTGTATCTAATGCAGTGTGTGTGTACTGGATGAGGGGAGGGTATTTTTATTTTAATTTTTTTATTTTAATATTAGATTATTTTAATATTATTATAATTATTTTAATATTTGCATAATTTTTTTTTTAAATGGTTTTTTGTCCCCCCTCCCTGCTTGTTGCCTGGTCAGGGAGGGGGGACAAATTTTTTTTAAATCTGACTCTACCTTAATCTGACTCTTGTGACGTGGATATGGCAGATGCCATCCTCCCAGTCTGTGATTGCAATTCTGTGTAATTGAGATTAGTAGAGTTCTGGGCGGGCAGACGAGTCCACAGTGACATTGCCAGAGGTAGAGTAACAACTATGACATCAGAGGGGTTCATCTTTGTAGTTGTTGTGCTTCATATGGAAATGCTGCACATACAGATTCCGGTCACCATGACCACTTCAAATCACTGAAGTTGTTATGGTGCTAGAAGTAACCCTTGAAATGAGATGTATCTGCACTCTAAATGCAAGGCAGCTAGAAAGTATATTATTCACAGCATTTCTTTAAAAATTCAAAACGAAAAATGAAACCAGGTTTAAATATCTGAAACACATTTATTGCATTTCGCAGAAAATCAGGTTCTGTACATTTCAAAACAGCTTAGAAAAATTACTATTTACAAGATTTACATATATCACAGGAGTGCAAGCCTTAAAGAAAAAACAAAGAACTCGATATTTTTCCTCCCTAAATAAAAAAAAATTAAAATCTATTTTCTTCATTTTAAACATGTATTTCTATGGGATGAATCAGTGCCTAGTCTTGCTAAAAATATGTCAGGGTGTTCACTAAGAATACATTTAGGGGAACTATAGTGCCCGCAATGGCGCCAGTTGGGATTGCAGTCTGTCTCCTGCACGCATTATAGCCGTATCCCTGAGCAGCTCAGAATTGGAATAGTCAGAGGTTTTTGATATGCCAAGAATTAAACCAATTATTCAGTGCAATTAATTAGGGCTCCTGTTTACTGGAGAATGGCCTCTACGCTGCAGCAGGACCACCGCCCTATTTGATACATTGCTTCTGTCTCGGAATGTTTACTGTTATTTTACACCCTGAAAACTTTGTACAAGTTACCATAATACAGCCTGCAGTGGTGGTT